CGCTCTCTCTCTCTCTCTCTCTCTCTCCACAATCAATGCCATCGATGCTATCAATGCTTACCTTAATATCGACATAAAATATCAAAAACAAAACGCTTTGAGTGTTTGAGTCGTTGGCCTTCTTCTCGTTCAGACTAAACACACATTTAATCGCATATTTGGTATCGACTGAGACATACAGACAGGTAATTGGCATCCCATCCCTTCCCCAATACCCTCTCTCTTACACACACACACACCATACCATACCCTCTCCCTCTATATGTATATCTCTTACACTATATTTATTTAAATGTATAATCATTTAGAGAGAAGTGTCTTAATCGGAAACTTCACGGAAAAAAGTTTTTTAAAATTAGTTTTTTTTCACTCAATTCTGTATTTCTAGGAATCCTTTAATCTCTGAAAATTCCTTGTCGTCTGGAGATTCCTGACTTCCCCTCACATTTTACTTTATAATACACACATCGAGTCGTTTACAACTTATTTTTATGACTTTGTATTGACTCAAAAATAAAATTAAACACAACTACTACACCCTACACGGTATACTTACCTTATATACTGTACCTTGTATAAATTACCTGTGCGTATATGTACTGTATGATGGCATAAACAGCGTGAATATGTAAATTGGGTGAGAATTTTCAATTTCTATTCACGGTTTACCGGAATTTAATTATAAATACAATGCTAATTACATGATTGAAAAAAAGTCGCCCAGACTTAACCTACAAATTATATAATATAATAAATACATTGCGTAATCACATTATATTTTATGTATACTATTATATATATGAAAAATAACTTCATATTATTTTTCGCTCGCATTTGAAGCAATAACACAAAAATCGCGGATTTTGTTTGTTTTCTGTCTGAAGCGCTAATACTATAGACTGAATACATGGCAAACCTCTGAGGAGTCTATGACTTACGCGACAATCACATGAAGTAAAGCAACAATTTTTGGACAATTTTTTGTAGTGTCTGTCGTGTTAAATGAGACACAATTTAAACGCGTTTTTCAATTAAAGCGATTCACAGGTATGTAGTGCTCTCTCTCTCTCTCTCTCTCTCTCTCGCAAATATAATAAATGCTATGCTGACCGTTAAATTACCCTGTCGTCTAGACGTTTAAATTATTATTATGCGTAAAACGAGTCAATTTGTTGGGCATTCAGTCTATTGAAGGCGATCTCTCGCTCCTCATATCCGACACACAAAAACATTTTCAGATCTCAACTCCAATTGCGAAACTACCGGCCCTTCACTGGTAAGGTATGTCTTATCTTCACCTCTTTTAACAGTCTCTCTCTCTCTCTCTCTCTCTCTCTCTCTCTCTATCGGTCACACGAGTGCAGTATAGTTCACAGGTATTATAAAAACATACCTGTGCCGGTAACCATAAATTGAGAGCATTTCTCGATAACTTATTTTCCAAACACTATATTTAGTACACTACTAGCCGGGTCAATCTATTGTCAATTAGCATTTTTTATGACCAATAGGTATACCACTCAATGGGTTTCTATTATGCATATAAAGTGAACCCTATTTTATGGGTTAATTTGTACCCAAATGTGGTTTAAAATAACTTTTTTCTCAATTCCTATATAAACACGAATGTAGACTCGTTTGAGTAACATTTGAAAAGTGTTGTCTGTCTGTCCAAACACACAGGTCTGTCCGACAAACATGGGCTCACATTTCATGTCAATGTGTTTGCTATTAATTTGGTGGACGAGTGTCGACACAAATAATTCATTAGACGGTCAGTCGGTGTCCACACTATCGCCGCAAATATTCAACGGATCGGCAAATGATCTCTCGCTGCAGGACTCGAGCCTATTGTCAAACACGAGTCTAACGGACCTCCAGAATGATAACGACACCCAACAGCTCCAGATCCGATTTAGAGAAAGGTGAGTTTACTTTACAAATTAAACTAGCTATAAATTTATCATTAATGTATAGGTATATTAGTATAGTATTATACAACATTAATGTAACTAGTAAAATGTATGTATTTGTAAAATTAGGTTTTTTCTACTAAAGTAAATAATTTTTCTATAACCACTTATTTTTTCAAAGTTATTAAGTAAAAGTATTTACTACAGTCAATTTGATTAATAAGCCTAATTTATATAAAAAAATGTATAAATATTTAGTTACTTATAAAGGGTTGAGGGTCACATTTCTTTGTTACAAAATTATGATAAAAAACAAACAACTTTTTAAAACAGAAAGCTAAACTCGATAAACTATAACTAATATTATATTTCTCATACAAATACATCATTTGAAGGTCCGCTTCACTGTAATACTGTGTAATGAGACGGGAAAACATTCCCATATAATCAGGCATAATTTTGAATATAACCTAAACATAAATAATATTTTTTAAATACAAATAAAAAATAGGTAACAAAATAATGATACTATATAGAAAAATGCTTAAAATCTAATTATTAATTATTATACTTTTTATGAATAATACACTAATACTGTAGGTGTAAGAAAGCTATGTATATAAATTATTTTTTAATAGACATAAGTTCTCTCTCTCTCTCTCTCTCTCTCTCTCTCTCTCAATCACTCACTCATTCACCCACTCACTCACTCACATCTCTCATACCCATAGGAAACGACAGGAGCGGCTGTTCTCAATCCAGACCCAAATCCTGTCCCGTCTGGGCATCACTGGCCGCACCGCCAACTCAACCAAAGCTAACCCCATATCGGATGAGGACCGAAGTCTGATGAATCGAGTGGTACAACAGGTCTCACCGGCGCCTACACCTCGCACTCGCGTTGTCGAGACAGTAACCGGGGTTAACGAGATCTCGTCTTCCGACATATTCTCGGAAAGGCTGCAAAGTTTTTACCCGTCGTGTGCGCCGCCCAATCACACCGACCCCACCCTCTGGGCCCAGGACTCGGGCTCTGAGATGAAACTATTTTACGACATAACGTTCCCCCGATCGCTGAGTGCGGAAAGGGAGGTGACGGCCGTGTCGGCGAAGTTACGGGTGTTTAAGTTTGCCGATCCGCCCACCCGTCAACTCATACCTAATAATAACATGGGGTTCACGGGTAGGACACAGAATATTCCTTATTTACTAACTGTATGTTAATTTTATGGGTTAATTAAAATAGTAGGTATACTATCTATTATCTAATGTTAATCCTATTTATTATGCAAATTATCATTGATTATAATTTAGTATTTTCTTAACTCATACATTCTTAATAAAAATATAATTAATCAAAACAATCCTGATCAATTAACATGAATTAAATGAGTTGTCTATTATCCAAACAGTGTCCGATCGCACGTATCAGATGACATCTCAAGAAGGCTTAACTGTATCGTTGTATCAATACATGAGACCATTGAGACAAAACCGAAGGGGTATTACCACGACTTCATAACAATTTTAAAAATAACTTAAAATTTGTTTTATTTTATAACAGAAAAGAGACGGTTAATAGACAGCCGTACTATAGCATGGAATAAGCAAGGTTACATTGAGTTCAACATCATTAATGCGATCAATTACTGGCAAAACAACCCGATCCGCAATTTCGGTCTATCCGTGGAAATGGAAAACCCTTATGGAGTCAAATACAACCCTCACCTCTATATTAATCCCATGAATTGCTCCGGTATTTAAATTGTTATTTATTTTATTACCAGCCATATACACCAGGGTACTATATTTAATTGTTCATAAATGGTTTACTAAGCTATCCACTAAGTTTTATTAATGAATAAAATTATATAATTATGTTAAACATTAAGTGTTAATAAGATTTATTCATAAAAAATACTGCCATGCTTAATAAATTATTTTTTAGCTTGAAAAGTAATAACTAGTGTACAGTAGACTTAATACCAACACGTTAATATGAATATAACCTTGCTACATTACAGTGCAGGACACACCGATGCCTAATTTGGCGCAAATATTCCCGGAAATGGCGAACGAGAGCGCGGTGTTCAACGCCGACAACTTCCCGACACTAGACTTACTGACCGTCGAAATGGTGAGACAGGTGTCGGTCGCCAACACTACGACCGACGGCGCGCAGCGTCGCAAACGACTGGCCATTCGGTCGACCGCTCGTACTATCCGTAAAACTGGGTGTCGGAGCTCTAAGCATGTCGTCTCCATGAAAGACCTCAATCTGGAGGATATTGTCCTATACCCGACATCACTGGAAATGGCGGTTTGCGCCGGTAGCTGTCGTGGTCACCGGGTATTTATTTAACATATATTTACTTTTAATACTCTTTATTTCAATTTTTAATAAAGTTATTAACATGTATTGCATGTTATAATCAAAATAATTATTATTTCTAATTTCCAAATAAAAACTGCTTTAGTACTTGTTTAAACTTTTTAAAAATCTAAAATTTTTATAAATATAAGCTTTGTAAATTATCAATTTTTGTTATTGATACAAATATAATTCATTTGTCACCCATGTGTAGGGCAAACATTACGATTGCATACCCACTGACTATAAAGACATTGAATTTGTGTATTTGGATCGCGACTCAAACCCGACTATTAAAACCCTTAAAGGATTGGTTGCCCAGAGGTGCCACTGTTTCAAGGCTTACTCATTCTGAAGTCAATTACCTGGATAACTATTTCGCCGCAATAATTATATGATATTTATAGCATTAGTCTTAATATTTCATTCATTATTAAATGTATTTTTGTGGACTTAATAGTACAGTATATAAAAATTATTTTAGTGTCAGATTATATTTTTCGTATCATTAGATTTATTTGTATTTTAACATTAAACAAACAGGTTCACCTTGTTAATTCATCTATTTTAAGAATAAAATGTAATTTTTATTATATTTTGAACATATATTTAAACTGTGATTGCACAATTATTAATGTAGGAGTTTTATTGTATTGCAAAGATTTATTAATAACTAAAAAGTTTGTTTTATTAGTTTTACACATTTTCTAAAATGCCACTGGATGTCTGTATTTGTGCTAAAATAGTTAGTGTAGTGATTTAGATTTGTATCTAAAAAATATTTTATATCATTTTATTAATCGTAATGTGTATGAAATAAATTATTTTTAATTATAAATTATATTAAATAAAAATTATAAAACCAAAAAATGCAAAAATCATATTATACACTATATTACTTTTTTACATAATATTTATTATACAGTAATTAATTTGATTTAAGATTATGATAAGTTATTAAGATAAGATTTTAATTTACTAAGATAATGAGTTATTGGTTTTACATTAATTTTATCATGATTATAAACAAATAAATTAAAAAACATAAATTAATAGAGTGGTCATTTGATAAAATAATAAGCAACAGTAAATCAAAGTTATTTCATATAAATCACAACCTATTTATAACTAATCCGGACACAATTAAGTGAGTGTGTCAGTTGTTGTGAAATACCGTTGTCTAAATAACTACCCGTCCAATAGATCACTGCCTAAAAAATAAAAACAATTTATTTGCTAATTAATTACCATGCACCATATTATGGTGTCGTATTCTATCCCTAAACTTATAAAAAAATAAAATATCAATGGCACCGGTAGCTCTAAGAAAATTATGTGCTGTCACACACAACTTGATTATCAGTCTTCTCTCTCTCTCTCTCTCTCTTTCTCTCTTTCTCTCTCTCTCTCTCTCTCTCTCTCTCTCTGAGTCTTAAGTAGTGATGTGTTTGGACACCATATGCTGGGAATAATTGGTTTGCGAGTGTCAATGGATTTAGGCATTGATTTATTATTGTATTAAATTAATAGATAGTGTATTGGATTTAAAATAGTCATTTCAGTGACAACACATTTTTCATCGATAGCACCGGTACTCACATTTCAAACAATTATTTTATATCAAATAATCGTAAGTGTCGTTCCTACTGTGGTATAGGTTATTGATTACCAATTCATAAAATAACCAAAAATATTAAGTTTTATGTTACGATAAAAATAAATGAATTTTCTTATAAAACTGTGTTTATTTAGTAGTGCCTTATGTTTGTGCTTGTTACTTGTAGCTTAATACAACATTTGCATAGATGTATAAAATAAATATATCTATCCTTAAGAATCTTAAGTTAAGATTATTTTTAGCAAAATATATTATAATATAAAGTAAAATCTAAAAAATATTTACAAACTTTTGCTTGAATTTAGAAAATGATATCTGGTTCAATATATCGGAT